GCAACCAAATAGGCACACGCTCCCATCAAAATTTACTAACCAACAGGTCATAGAAAGGGGAAACAGATCCCGCATTTAGGGCATAATAATTATTAGATTATAACGTCCTAGAACATATTAATTAATAGATTATAACGTCTTAGGACATATTAATTATTAGATTATAACGTTCTAGGACATATTAATTATTAGATTATAACATCCTAGGATATATTAGTCTTGAACAAGTAGTGTTCTAGGACATATTAATATATTAATATATTAATATGTCCTAGGACACTATTCTATTTAATATAAATTATTTTATATTAATAATGTATCTATTTTAATATTTAATTTATCTAAATCAATAGAAATATCTAATAAATATTCAAAAAATATAATAAAATCTTTCAAATGACTTAAAACTTTTTTATTTAAAATCATTTTTAAAGTTTTTTATTTAGATTTATTTCTGATACATTATTTTTAAATTTACTATAAATACAATTTTTCATCAGTTAACTTTTGTTATTTTTAAGTTATCATAAATATAAAAAATATCTATTAAATTCATATAAAAATTAATTGATTAGTTTTTGTATTTTCATTTTATTATAAATTGTTTAATCTTTTAATTTCATTATCTAATTTATCTTATAAAAATTTCTGTATACTACTAATAATTATAAATCATCTGCTGACTTATAAAATTTTAAATATTTTAATGAAAATTAATAATATCATAAATATTAATTAAAATAACTTTTTTTCTAATTCTTGTAATATTTATGATATGCTTTGATTTTGTTTTTAATAAGTAATTTTTAATATTATACTTAAATTATTAAAAATTACATAATTTAATTTAATTTATAAATTTTTATATTAATATGTTGCTATTTAAATTAATAAAAAAATATTAATCAATTTAAAAGAATCAATAATTTCTATATTATAAGACTATAAATATATAGTAGTATTTAGTAATAAAATAAAAAATGTATAGTTACATTTTTAAATTTATATTTTCATTTATAATATATATCAATATATTATCAACTAATAAAAAAATATAATGATTTAATATTGAATATTATTTAATTATTTTAAGAAAATTTAGAATTATCTGTTTCATCACAATTAAAATTATATAATTTTTAATAATTTTACATAAAATTTTTTTTTCTTCATCTAAGATTTTAATAGTGCACTTTTTGTTTTATCTATTTAATATATTATTTTAAATTATTTCATTCTTTAAATTCATTAATTTATCTATTTGTTTACATATAAGATCAATATTAATAATAAGGTTTGCAATAAGTGCATTAGTTATTTATAATAAAGAATCTTTTCTACTTAAGAAAATAACCAGATTTTTTTCTTTGCTTATTTGACTCTTCTAAATTTGGTTTTACATTTTTTCTTTATTTTTTAAATATCAGAAACAGTATTTTTGTATAAAGTTCTTGAATAGATCATGGCGTTTTTTGATAATCTAAATAAAGTTATTTTTTGTACACGTATTAAAATAACTTTTTTTATTTGATTTTTAATGCAAATAAAGACAAGTATGGATATATGCTAGTGTAATCTAAAATATCAGTACATCTTAATTATAGGAGGAATAAAGAAAATTATCAGTACATGTTATATTGTAAATCTATATGTAATATTGATATAACAAGGTATTTTATTAATTGTGAAATGGAACATGAAAAATTTATCAGTATATGCAATAAAATATTAGTATATAAAAGTTCTGACTGTACTATTATTTTGACTTCATAAACATGTGAGAAGGCAGATGCGAATGAAGAGCAAAGCGAGCAGAAATCCTTGAAGGATAAGAAAATAGATGATTTCTCGACTTGGTAAATAAGAAAATTATCAGACAAAATAATCGGAAATAGAAAACTCATCTTCAGTTTAGAACTTTAAAAATGATCTCTCCATAGCTAGCACTGAACTTGTGACTAGTCAAAGAATTAATTTTAGCATGTAAGACACTTCCAGTTAAGGAATCATCTGTTGAAACATTGCTAGTGAATAATATAAGTGAAGTTTTTTTAAACTGAACCTCTTTGGAGAAATGAAATTCATGTACAGTACAACGAAACTTCTTGAGAACTGAATTCGGCGGAGGATACACTTGTATGTCTTTATTATCCACAAAAAGAAAATTTTAAATCGTTGCTTCGACATTACGCAATGTGTTATAGCCATTAAACCTGGTGAAAAAAGACTTATTATTTAAAGAAAAAGGGTTTTCACGAATTAATGACGACATCTTTCGTTCTCTCCAAAATAATTTTTCTTTGCGGGTTAAAAGATTCTGATAATTATATAATCGAAAGAATAACAATAGATTTATTTGGAGACAAGTATAATTTAATAGATATAATAGATATAGAGATATATATCATATTTTATTTCTTTGGATAGTGTAGTTAATAACAGACATGAATTTTTTTTTTTTTTTTTAAAAAAAAAAAAAAAGAAATGATAGTAAATATATATATAAAAGAAACTAATATACTTTGCCGCCGCATCCAAGTCAGGCACTTGTTAAAAAATTTTTATACAGACTGATATGAAAACATTACTTTCAAATATTCAATAAGTGTTATAAGGAATTTGATCCAAATTACTTTTTTTTCATATAAAATGAAAAATGAACAAGGACATTTCATACGTAGAAAGAAAATCATAACAAAAAATTTTTTTTATCCATGCGCGTCCTGAGGTTTATAAATTGTTAAAAGAATAAAGAGAAATGACAAAATTAGTACAATAAGGAAACAAAACCAGAAGCAGTAATAAGGTGATTAACGCCAAATATATACTATCGTTACGGATACAAAAAATTTGTCTTTTAGAGAACATTATTATTTAGCATGTCTATTAATTCGTCTTCAAGCTAAAGACAGGAAAGCAGGAGAGGAGCCGAAAGAAGAAAAAAACATTTCTATCATACGAAATTTTTTAGTGTGTTTTTGGTACGTTTGTTGGATATGATGAGCAATGTTAGGCATATAGCATATAGTAAAACCGGTAACAAATAAATACAAATTGTTTGAAATGCTAATCTATCAAAATTAAATCTATGAAATATAAAAAAAAAAAAAAAACAAACATCTAATTTACAAATGAAATATTTACAAGTGCGTAAGGTATACAAAAAATATAATGCGTAAAAAGAAACCAAAGTGATAAATCAAAGGGGAAGATATTTATATGTTTTTCGGAAGTAATTTCTGAATTTTTTAAATTCGCGTCCGGGATTGCAGTTGTTAAAGCAATTTTTACATTTCCAAACCGTTCGTTTATTCTTATCAATTATATCATACATGCAAAAGCAATGAAAACTAAAAAAAAAGTTCAAATTATGTTTAGAATATAATGATATCAAAAGGTAAATTCGAAAAAAAATTTTTGTTTTTTTGTGAGATACTTGCAACAAATCACATTTTTTACATCTCGTCATTTTGGCACATTCATCTTTTATAACTTTAAATTTCTCCCCCAAATCTGTTGACCAATATGCAGGTGCCTTAAAAGTTCTTGAGATTCTACAATCAGGAAAAGCACAAGGTACCTGCAACTGTCTACACTCCGTACAGACATAGAAGGTGTTTGGATCTTTACAGTATTCTTCAGAAACCCCAACGCATTCTGGATGAAACCAGTCCAGACATATCTCACAGCACACCTTAAAATGTAATAAAGATGTTAATATGATCAATGGAGAGAAACCGACCATAACAAATTTATAATTTATAATTACCATATCCTCTCCTCCATAATTTTCTACACTTTGTTCACAAACACACATATTTTTACTATTATCTGTTCTCATCTTTTTCTTTTCTCTTGCTTCTTCATAGTAATCTTTTACTTCATTTAAATGCTCCTCTTCTCGTTCCGCTTTTCTCTTCCGTCCTACATAATAAGAAAAGTATCTACCGTAAGTATATTCCGTATGCTGCGCCAAAGATGATATGATGATCAGGAATTACCATGGTAAATGAGAATATCATCCTCCTCTTCCAATATTTGTTTAGTGGTGTATCTATCGGTGACGTTATTGCGGCTGCCTTTGTAGCCAATTTTACTACTGCTTCTGCTTTCCTTATCATTGTTGGTATTGCTGTAGTTACTTGCTTTAGACCTAGTATTCATTTTAAAATTTTTTCTTTAACCAAGGTTTTGGAAAAAAAAGTGTTGTTTCGAAGGTTTTTTCAGCTGCAAAATAGTTTATAAGGTGATTTTTTTAAAGTCCGCTTATTGGTATCATTTTAGCCAAATTTGGATAACTGCATAGCGGACTTTGTATTAGTAGAGAAAATTTTACGTGATTTCTATTAAATTATGTGGTTACACCATTTGCTGCGCATCACGAATTTAAATACAATGGACAGGGTTCATTAACTCAAAAAAGGATTTTTTTTTTTTTTTTACTTTCGTTTATTTTTTCATGATATTGTTATCGTTATTACTTAATGCCTTATGTAAATTTGAAAGGACAAATGCTTGCTTCTCATGGATGTGATCTATTTTAAATAAATCCTAGACGAATTAATCAAAGTACTTATGTGCTAGTGATTTGTTTATGATTACATATATGTCGTCATATGAGGTCATGTATATTACAAGTAATTCATAAAATATGTGCTGGATTTTAACGATAAACCACATCGAGATATATATTTCAACCAGAAATTCACAATTAACATCACTTTCTATAAATATTTCTTCCATATATAAATAATATATAAATAAAAAAAAAAAAAAGCGTTTCCTTAAAATGAATAACACAATCCACATGCCCACGAACGCAGAGAGATCATCAATAATATCATATAGCATTGTTAAATATCTGTGGCCAGTATATATACGTTAGTTAGTTCTCATTGTTGTAATGAAATCTATAGAAATAACTCTACCTGTAAAGAAATTTTGGAATGTAAAAGTGAATGATAAAGATGATGAAGAATAAATATAAAAGAAAAAGCAAAGTGATGATGCAAAGCAATGGACAAAAAAAAAAAAAAAAATGAAATATATATATTTTGGGGGAAATAAAGTAATACAAATTTTTAAACAAGAAATTCAAAATGAAATTCCTCCCGACATACAACCCGCTTTTCCAACGTAATTATTTCACCCATAATAATACAAAGGTTCATGGAATGGACGATAAAAATCCGAGATTTCCGCGTATTCGATTTTTATAATATCTCTTCCTTGTTGTAGTAACATATGATCAAAATCCACGTCAAAATTTTTTCTAACATATCTAAACAATCCAAATTTTTCATCACCACCACGCCCTTCATTTCTATTCAAAGCAAATTGTAAAATAAGCTTTAAATTTTCATTCCTAATTAATTGATTATTATAAAAATCCAATTCAATTAAATGGTTACATCCCAAATTTTCCAACGTTACCCTTAAGAAATAAGATATGAATTCATTATTTCTTTCATTATTATCATTATGAATATCTAAACCTAGCTTCGATAAAGAATTCGGTAATGAATTGGCGAATGCTACTATATAATTATCATTTATAAAGGATGATAATTTTAGCTTCATTCTAAGATATTTTAATTCCCTCAATACTTCCAATAATTTAATAAATAAGTAAAAGTCGTCGAGCAGTAATTCACACGATAAATGTGTTAAATTGTAACAATATTTGCCTAACGACGTAATGATGCACGGATTAATCTTTCCTAAATTCAATGTTCGTAAATTAATGTTTGTCATCATAAGTGTTCTCTCAAGACCGAGCGTAACAATATTATCGATGACAACGTTTGTTGATGGTACATTCCCGTTAAGATCACAAAGTTGATTTTGGTATTGTTGTTGTTGCTGTAGCTTGTCGTACCAATAATACTCCTGTTCATTCTCTTCACTCACGCAATCTTCAATACAATAAATGCTCTTGATTTTCAATTGATTGAATTCAAATTCTCTCATAACAGACAGATCCCCCCCTTTGCCAACTTCTTCGTTATTCCTTCTCCCAATATCCCCATTATAATTCCAAGCATCAACGTGCATATCATCTCCAACGACCACTTCTTCGGCAATAAACTCCAACAATTCCAAATTAACGCAATTCCTCAACACCTTCAAGATTCTCGCAAGGTTCCTCATCTTTCCTCCAATCTTCAAGTACTTTAAGGTCGTCGCTTGTGAATTAATAATTTCTTCAAACTCACTTAAATTCTCAGAAATTAAAGACTCATTAAACGACAGTGCTTCTAGGCTAAATTGATGTGTTACGAAATTAACAATACTATTAATGACCCGTTTGGTAAAAGAAAGATCATAAGGAGTCGAAATATTGATCGTGATGTATCTAATTGAAGAGGTGTAATACGATAAATTATCGAATAAATCATGTAATTTCTTTTCGTCCTTTTGGTTAGAATTACTTCCCTCAACATAATAATAATCAATCTCAAAGTTCACCAAATTAGAAATAGAATAAGCAAATTCTTTATGTTTAATAAAGACCATCTCATCGTTGGAATTAAGTCTAAAATACTTCAAAGACTTTAACATCGTGGTCGATCCAAATAATAAATTGCTAACAATATACTTTGCATATTCTAATTTATAATTGTAATTCGTCGAGTAATTCAATGGATCAATTAATTTCAACCATTTATCCATCATCATTTGAAATGCTCGTGAGTTAAAACTTGTCAAGTATTCAGGATAAGGAAAAAATGGGGTAACTGGCGATCCAACTGGAATTCCGGAGACGTTTAAATAAGATTTATCTTCATCCACTAAAGAACATATATATGTGCTTATGATGAGTGGTGCTTTAGGGCTATCCAAATCTATATGATCAAAAGGGGTGCTCCATAACAAAGGTATTGCCAAACGACTGAAAAATCGATTGACGAATATACAAGAATGTAATGTTTTTATATCGCTTTTAAAGTTACTAAAAATTTCATTATAAAATTCAACCGGAATCGGGTTATATACATTAGTTTCCATATCTAAGTAAATATTATTCATTAAAAGGAAGGGGGGGAGGGGAGAGGTAAAAAAGTAAAGGTTTTTGTTAGGAAAAAAGAAAAAAAAAAAAAATTCTTTTATTTGTATTGTATTTTTTTGATCAACACAAATTTGTAAAAAACAGGTTTTTTATTGCATATCACAAGGTTGTATGATTTTTTAATAAAGGAAATCTATTAGAAATTTCCCACGATTCAACCAGATTACGTCATTTACTTTACGGGTCAAAATTTTTTTTTTTTTTTTTTTTTTGTAAAAAAAGAATTTCCAACCTCGCGTAAACATTTTCTATTTATGATATTTTTTTAAGAACGGTTTTTTTTTTTTTTTTGGAATTCAATGATCTGCAAGGAAACATTTTATTACCCAATATACCACAATCGAGGTATGACATGTGACAAATTTATTATTTACTACATATAAAAGGAATAGTTTCTTTTTGATCGCATTCCTCTAACCCTTAATGAATTAAATTAAAATCTGATAATTTTATAATAAGGTCGTTTTTGTTGAAATTCATGTTTCACGAATATTTAAAAATTGAGTATAAAATCTTATCTATATAATCATATATTTTTAGGGAATAATGAACAAGAACTTGCTTGTATCATATTTTGTTATCAAGTGTCAATGCATCAATTTTTTCTCAATATTGTTTTGGATGTCAAATATTTTGGAATATGAATGAATTTCTTATTAAACTCCTCAATATGGCAAATTCGGAGAACAATAAAAATTGAATTCTAATTATTACAAATAATAAAATAACAAATTATTTCAACTAGTCAGTTAATCAAATAATTAACAACAATAATGATAATTCACTAATAATTAAAATATATTGTCTTTAACATTCGACAAGAATTTTGATCTATTTCTAATTCTTAATAAGAATCAAGGACGATGAACTTTTCTAATCGTATAACTTGAAAGTTCCAATTTCATATGAATCCATAGAACGCGTGAATCTATTCAATTATCGAACGGTAACCAATTTTTGCAAAGATTATGAAGGTTGTAGGTTTAGACCGTCAATTTTGTCAATCACATTGTGACTATTGAAAACATACTTGTTCGTGGCTTTGCAATGGCTTCCATCGTATAAACAACAGTGTCAGGTAATTCTGGCTAGGCCTCACAATATTTTCGTCGTCACTAAGAAAAAAGAATTTCCGGATAATATCCAGTAAACGTACTTGAAAGGTTACTGGACCTTTCACATTTCTGGACATACCAGGGACAGTTCCGGACATCTTTTTTTTTTATTAGACATACGTTATAAGAATTCATTATATGGGCAACATTAAATTTAATTATTTTATAGATTCAAAAAGTAATATTATGGGTAAATATTACGTTAAACGTAATGATTTATAGTAAAGAAATAATCCCGAAAATTTAATACTGATGTAATAAAGTGTAAATTTTTACCTATCCGAGAATTGTTAATTCACAAGGTCAATAGGGTCGGTTTACGAAATATTGGAATAAGTTTGATGCAACGCGATTCCTGAGAGAGATTATTGCGTAATGGTTTATTTTTATTTTTTAATCTAAAAATTTAACATTTGTTATTTTGCGTCTCGAAAAAAGGAAATTGTATGGAAAAGACGCATTGTCTTTACCGCCCAAATAAATTATGAAATTTTTGAAAATTTTTTTTTTTTTACATTGCGTACTTCTGGTACTATTGATGTAGTCTCAATAATTATTTATTGTGATGGGTTTTGGGTCTAAAATTTATTTTTTAACTTAAGAAAAATGGATCCCTGGCCTATTTTACAGATCAGAACACTTGTTTACAACTCAGCTCATATAGAACAATTGAATTTGCAGTTGGATAGACTTTCATAACGTTTTCTGGTATGAGATCATTGTCAATAAGCCATTACGTCTTGTTGCGTAATTCTAGCTTTGCCATTTGCATTTCCAACATACAATTCTCCATTTTCACTTGTAAATGTCATTTCACCATATTTAAATGTTTTTGCTTTTGCACCATTTTCAATAATTTTTCATTTTGAAAAATTCTTATAAGCGATGAAAAATTTTCCATTTATGCCGATTGGCTCATTGGTGGTCTCAACTCTCGTTATTTTTTTTTGATTCATTCTTGATGTAAAGGTATACAAAAAAAAAAAAATATAGCACGATATGAATGATCCCGTTACTCGCGGATCAGCCAATACTATGTTAGCCTTCCATCTTGACCTGACTTGCATTATATCAGTTCCCGTTTTCGCCAAAATTATAGGTTCTCCCTTAACTCCGATCGAATCCATAAGTATGGTTTCTCGATAAGATATTAGGAATTTCCCGAAAGTATCTCTCCAGGTATATTAAACTTCTTTCTAATTCGATTGCTGAAGATTATGGTATACTCTCAACTGCAAGATTATTTAGAGCAAAAAATTTATATGGACCTTTTGATGATATCGTATCAATCAATTTTGGAAATTGATTCTCAATAATTCCGGATTATTCACTATTTTATCATAAATTTTCTTTAAAGCATCTTGAGCCGTTATTATTTTTTTTTTTTTGACAAAATGAGAAATAATTTTGAAATTTTCTTAACATCTTTGCGCGCTAACCAACTTTTTTTTTTACTTTCATCATTTTATTTTAATTGTACTGTACAAGCTTAGAAGTTTCTACGCATTCTATATTATAAACTCTGCGCCGCCATTTAATAATGATTACCTTGACACATTTCCAAGTCACTACGCTTACCAAGTTTATTTTTCCATTGTAATTTCTAATCTTTCGCTATTGGTTTTTTAATTTCGCTTATATAAAATATATTACCTTGATTTTATCTATTATGACAAAATCTTTAAAGTAATTATAACAGTCAGGAAAGATGTCGCATTAAACCCGGAGCAAAATTTTTTAATTATGATTGACTCATAAAATTTTTAATATAGCATCTTCTTCAAATATGTAATATTTGTGTAAATTCAAAATCGGTTAAAATTAATTTAACTACAGTCAACTCTCTTTAAATGTATGCTCTCGTTTAGTCCGAAGCATATATAAATCATATATAAATTTCTCTTTAAATGCACACCCTCTTTAAATGCACAATTTTATGGTCCCAAGGGTGCATATAGAGAGAGTTGACTGTAATTAAAACCGTAGACTTATAATTTTGCCCAAACATTTCGTAATTCTGGCCAAATTTATAATGCCGGCCTAAATCTCGTAAAATTCTATAAAATTCAGTTTAAGGTAACGTTACACTCACATAATGTAACATTCTAATCTAATCATTAAAATGATTTCTTTTCGATTTTTTTATAATCATATTGTTAACGTGTAATTCTTGCGAACTACAACTGTTAGACGGGGTGGGGTGTTCAAGCGGTTTATTCTTTTAAATTGACAGTAATCTTTCAATAGTTAACGAGTTTTATTTCAGACTGGTTATCAAAAGTGTTTATACTATTACGACGAGCAGTAATTTAACAGATTGCCAATGATTTATAATTGTAAATTATTGTGTTTATTCACGAGTAAAAAAATAAAAATAAAAGAAAAGGAATAAAAGAAAATAAGAAAATAAGAAAAGAAAAGAAACAAATTACTGAAACTAAAATGTAATGCAGTAGGCCAATTGCCTCTAAAACTACTAAAACTAACCTGTCAAGTTCCTATCTGTCTGTCTTTTTACATGAACTAACAAGTTACCTATTTATATAAAATAAATTACATAGAAAGATATAACTAATATATCTAATATGTCAGTTATATCTAATATGTCAGTTATGTCACATATGTCTGACATATCTAATATGTCAGTTATATCACATATATCTGTTATGTCTAATATGTCAATTATGTCGATTATATCTGATATATCGCATATGTCAGACATATCAGAAATGTTAGATATACAATCTATATAAATTGATCATCTTTCTATGCCACATAAACTGCGTCACATTTATTCGTTCACACTATTAAATGCTTTTTCACATAACCTTTGTTATTTGAAAATGATCTTTAATGGAATTTAGTGTATTTTTTCATTCATTTTTTTAACTAAGACTAAGTAATAGTGAAGTAAACAGTGATGTTGATGATTTTTTTAATAATGTACTTGCTAAAACAGTCAAAATGCATATTGCATATTCTAATCTTATATAGAAAAATGTGAAAAAAGAGGGAGAGTATTATCTTTAATTCTGATGAAATTAATATTATTTTTAAAAATTATTCTATATATCTATAGTATGATTATCATAAACATAATACAGACTATGAATTTAAGAAAAGAATTATTTATTTCATATTTAACAATGCAAAAATTATTTATTAAGCTTAGAGAACTTTTAAATTGAAACCTGAGATATAGGTAGAATGAGTTTAGAATATAGTAGTGAATTTCTGATGATAAGAAATATTCTAAGTATAACTTATCACAATATAAGAATTCCTGATAATCAAACTATATTATATTATAATCAAACAATTTTAGCTAAAGATGTATCTACATATCATTAAAATAGTCTTATTTTATTTTATCATTATTCTTCACGTGAATAAGCAGAAAAAAGAAAGAACAGTTAAGTGAATGATTAGCTACAGTAGCATATATACTTATTAAGATATTATTATATTGACAAAATTATATGATTATTAAAGGTATAGATTGGATTGATGCATTAAAATAGTTATATAATCCTAAATATTATTGTATTGATAGAAAATATAACTTTGAGAATTTTATTAGAAATTTAGAATATGAAAAATATAAGAATAGATCATCAAAAATAAAACCTATATATGATTTACCATTAAAATATATATATATTATTTATAAAATAATATAACTTTAAATTTCTAAGATTTGGATGATAATTGTAAGTTTATATGTTAAATTTTTCAGATTAATTCTTGAATAAGATTTTGAATATTATCTAATCATAATGCATATAAACGTATATGGGAGTGTTTCTAGGAAAATCAGATTCTGAGAAATTTTTGACTAAAATAAAGAGCTTAATACATTTTAATCTAATAACATCAAAAACTAAAATGCAATAAAAATCTCAATTTTGCTAAAAAATTACCGGAACCTGATTTTCCTAGCAATCAACCCATATGATAAAAATAAAGTATATATGATGTAATAAATGATACATTGCAAATCATATGTATAACTATTGCTTGTGTAATAAAATAATTTCACATATATAAAACGCTTCATCTTTAAAAATATTTTGATTTTTTTCTTACAATATTTTAGGAAACTAAATAGTATTTTTTAAAATTATATTCATTCCAAAGTTATAACTATTTTTGGGTGATAGGTTACTAAAACTTTATAGCTATTTCTATTATATTTTAATTAGAGAATATTTATATAATATTATCAGATTTTAGTATTAAGTAGTCAAATAAGTATGTATTTATTACCCCTAATGCCTTTATAATATTAAGATTAAAGATGGTGCTATAACTAGTTGCAACTATGTGATGCTTATTTATTACCAATTACAACTTAATTTTATTAATGTTGTAACTAGTTACAATTTTATGATGCTTATTTGTCATCGATTACAATTATTTATAATGCTATCTTTAATTAAAATTATTAATGCACATTCTGCCTTTATTTTCTAATACAAAATTTTAACATAAAAGTCTATTGCATATTCTTTTGCTTTAATTCTAATATGAACTCAAACTTAGATAAAACATAAATAAAATTATTTAAAAGGGTAGTATACAAAATTTTGGATATTCATTGCTTATTTTTGACATGTAATTATTAACTAATTACTGTTAACATGATGAACATAGTTGTAAAAATTAAAACTTTTTTTTGAAAAAAACTTTTAATACTATATGTTCTATTACCATTATTTATTTAACAAGAAAAATAATAATTTTACTACCACTTTTTCAGGTTAAAGATCTAGTAAAATGTGTGGTAAATTTCTTATTATTAAAAATAATTAATTTTGAATAAAGAATGAAAGTATTAAAAGTTTTATCATAGGTCAATACATTTTATATTTAATCTTTTTTTTATGTATCTAGTAATAAAATCTATAGATACTAGAGTATTTCTAATTAGAATATTAGTCTAAAAGAGTGATATTATCAGAAAATATTTTCTCATAATATCAAGAATTTTTACTACTCCCCTAACTATTATTAGTAGAACAGAATATTCTAAAAGATAAAATTTGAATGTATACTTACAAATTTGAAATATAGGGTTTTTTAAACTTTATGAATACAAATTTAACTTATTACATTTGCTATAGATAGAGATTGAATATAAAAGTATTATAAGATTAGATACTGTAAAGGAATTAAAAACTAAATAAGAGTTCAATATTAACTGTATAAGAGAGAAAATAGAATAAAATATAAAAGCGTTACATTCTAAACTTAATTCATTAATGATTAATATGAATATACTCTTTACAGTATTCTTAAAACTAATTTAAAAAGTATGAATATTTTAGACTTTACATAATAAGATCTAGAGACTAATATGATTATTTTTAATAATTCGTTATTAGTAAAAAATTTAAAAGTAAGACAGAAATAACTTTTTTAGAGCTTTGTAAGAATATGAAATATGTTTTCCTATTTTAGTTATTTCAAGATATAATAAATTTGTAATAATTTTAATAATAATGAAATTTTAAAAGTACTCAAAAATATTATACATAATAAGGAATAAAAGGAAAATGATAATAAACTGATAAAATAAATAAACTATATATTAAATATTTTATAAATAATCTGAATATCTTTTATTTTAGATTTTAAAGTAATATTTTATCTATTTTATTATAGAGAAGAAATATGAAAATATCTAGTATTTATAATTAGTGAAATGTGTAGTTTTTAAAATGAGAAAACTTATATAATAGATATTATTATACCTTTATTTCAAGTCAGTTTAAGAGATTTTCTAAATAATACTATTTATCTTAACATTATAGAACATCAGAACATAGCAAACAAGATTCTAAAAAATCTTAGATTAAATGAGAAAAATCCTTGTAAATTTTTAATATTTTAATAAGAAAAAAACCTGATATTATACTTATATAATTTATTAGAAATTGAATAGTAATTTATTAGTAGGTAAATAATAATTATATAATATTAGTTAAAGTAAAGTAAATCATATGATATAAATATAATTAAAATAGGTAAATTGTTATGATATAATTAGCTACATACTTATAATTAGCCATATTTAAAATACAAAAGAATGAAATATGAAAAAAATTAAATAACAGAAATAGAAAACAGAAAGGATTATAGAAAAATAAAAATAAAAACAGAAATATAGACAGAAATATAACTAAAATCTAGCAAAAAATATTAAAATAATTAGCTTATTGTCATATCCTTTTAAGCATTTTGCAAGCAAATTTGCCTGCAATTTTATTTATTAATTAAAATTATTTATAATAATTTTAAATATTT